CAATAATTACTATAATGGGAATCACAGTTGTTACTATAATCATAATCACAATAATTAGTATAATAGTAATCATAAGTATGACGATAATAACTGTAATCATAATTATAATGCTACCAATGATAATGTTATTATTTTGAATAATTAGCATAATAGTAACCATAATTGTAATACTACTAAAAATAATGATATTATTAATGATAGCCATACGAAGAATAACATTAATAATGCTAATCATAAGAACCATCATAGTAATAGTAGTAACATTCATGTGGGTAGTTCTCTCTAAATTCGGATCCCTTTTTAGGTCCCCACTATAGTACGGCACCCTTGTCACAAGGACCTCAAGAGGGACCTTAGTTTGATCAGACTTGTGGCTGTATGCCCGTGAGGCACGGCTAAAGTTGCTGGATGCCCAGCTAGAGAAGGAGCTGGAGGCCAGAATCCGGGCTCTGCGTTCGTTTTGGGTTTGGTGTTTAGGGCCAAATGTTTAGGGTGCAGCGAAGGTTGCCTGACATAGACTCATTTTGCTTGAGCCAGCTGTCCATCTTATCTGTCGAATCTATCGTATCTGTCTAATCTATCTGATAAAACGAACCTAATCTGTCTAATCTACCCAACCTACCTAACTTTTCTATCTATCATCCATCCATCCATCCATCCATCCATCCAGGCATGCGGATGCACACTGCCAGATGCCGCGCCAGGAAAATCACGACGAGACCTTCGTTGCAGTGGCCCAGCGCGAGCAGCTCAAGCAGGACATGCAGCCCTCAGCTCTTCATCCCTGTTAAAAGACGAAATCAAGGTTTAGGGGTTTAGGGTTTCGGGGTTTAGGGTTTAGTAACCCTAGACCCTCAACCCTAAACCGTGAAGCGTAGTCAGACACGGATAAAGACTGAGTGATCAGATATGAGCTGCAAGATTTGCGCCCCCTCAAGGGGTGACGGTTTGATCGCAGCCGAAGCCTGTGCGAACCGATCACACTCAGAGATGTTGCAGTATCTAGGAGTATTGGCAGAAGTACAACGAGGCGGCTGTCCATGGCATTTGCGTGGCCCTGAGCCCTTGTGAGTTTTGCAATTTCCGTGCGGAGGCGGGCAGTGCCAAGAAGACCTTGAGCGAGTTTGAGGAGTTCGCGGCTTACTGACGTTGACTCCTTTTCTTCATTTCCGTCCTTCCTTCGTTCCCTCTCTTTCTCTCTCTCTCTCTCTCTCTCTCTCCCTAAACCCTAAACCCCTAAACCCTAAACCCTAAACCCTAAACCTTTTCTCTCTTCGCTGATGTCGGTGCCTTCGTGCAGAGTCTTTCGCTCTGATAGCAAAGCTCTGGCTCTGCTTCGTGCAGGTGGCAGAGGCTGCTCCACGGAGGGAAAGCAGAGGCCATGTCTTTGAGACGAGGGTTAGGGTTTCGGGTTTAGGGTTTCGGGTTTAGGGTTTAGGGTTTAGGGCTTAGCGACTATCCGTATCATGACTTCAGAAACGGTACAACTATCATTGTTCATAGTTCGTACCTGTTAGCTGAAACATGCTGTAACTATCATTCTTCGTAGTCTCAGTGCAAGTAGTATGCTGTATGTAGTATATAGTATATACGATGTGTGTTCTGCATTCTGAACCAAGAGCTATGTGTCAATTTATGCACTATGCACACGTTTATTCCCACTCCCATTCGGATTCCTAGTCTTACAAGCGTTTGTGACTGTGACCCCACTCGGATTCACGATGTCGAGGTCTCGACGACGGCTCCATCCGAAGTGGAGGCTCAAACCCTAAACCCTAAACCCCTCAACGGGCTTGATGGTTAGGGTTTAGGGTTTTACGGTTTTGGGGTTTTGGGGTTTAGGGCTTTGGGGTGTAGGGTTTTAGGGTTTAGGGTTTTGGGGTTTAGGGGTTTAGTATTTAGGGTTTAGGGCTGTAGGGTTCAGGGGTTTTAGGGTTTAGGGGTTTAGGGTTTTAGGGTTTAGGGTTTAGGGTTTTAGGGTTTTGGGGTTTAGGGGTTTAGGGTTTAGGGTTTTAGGATTTAGAGGTTTAGGGGTTTAGGGTTTTTGGGATTTAGGGGTTTAGTATATAGGGTTTAGGGTTTTCGGGTTTAGGGTTTAGGGGTTTAGGGGTTTAGTATTTAGGGTTTAGGGCTTCAGGGTTTAGGGGTTTTAGGGTTTAGGGGTTTAGAGTTTTGGCGTTTAGGGGTTTAGGCTTAGGGTTTCGGATCTAGGGTTTGGGGTCCTAACTCCGGAACCCTAGTTCTTGAGCTGTAAGCTTATCAACCCCACTTGGCCTGAGCCGTGCTTGTCCTTAACCCCAAACCCCAAAAGGCAAAGCCCTACATTCCGCACGTAAAACCAAATACTCCCTAGAAACCGAAAGCCCTAAATGGCACCCGAAGCTTGAACCAGCAAGAAACCTAGCAGAAAAGCAGCAACAGGACCTGGCCAGAAGCTCTAACTCTGCACCTCCTCTCCCAGGAAACAACCAGGACCCCAAACCCTAAACCCTAAACTCTAACCCCTAAACCCTAAAATTTACCCTAAACCCTAAATCCTAAACCCTAAACCCGAAACCCTCAGTCCTAAACCCTACACCCGAAAGCCCCGAAGCAAAAAAAAAAAAAAAATGGCGCCAGGACCTGGCCACGAGCCGGGTCTCCGGCCTGGAGCAGTCGGACTGGCGGATCTCCCACCTCGGCTTTACGAGGCGACTCCCTCCCTCCGGTTTAGGGTTTAGGGTTTAGGGCTTCCTTTTCAAGGGTATCTTTAAGGGTTCTATTATTTAAAGGGATCCTTTAAGGGATCCTTTAAAGGGTTCCTTTAAGGGTTGTAGGCTTCCTTGAAGGGTATCTATAAGAGTATCTTTAAGGTTTTTATAAGGGTATCCTTGGGTTCTATACGGGTTCTAAACGGGTTCTACAGTCAGGGGTTTAGGGTTTCGAGCTCAGGGGAACCCCGTAGCCATACCTGTAAGCACTGACAACCCCACTTAAGGTACTTCTGACCTTACTTGCTAGTCCCCTCATCCTCCAAGTAGCATGATTCGTATCACTACCATGGTTACTACTGGTATGACTACTGTTATGTACTACTATGTTTAGTACTATGATGATTTTCGTTTTTTTTTCCTTCTCCTGGGGAGACATGGGGGTATTAAGACTAGCATTCTATTAAGACTGTGGAGGAAGACGATACCAATGAGACTGTTCATATTTTTAGCAGTACTGCTTTGCCAGGGTGTCTCTCCTCTCGTTTCCCTGCGGGAGGGAGTTGAGAGTCAGATCATTGGACTGATGCACAATAGGACTATACACTGTTAGTATATAAGAACAATGCTGATAATACTAGAGAAAACAAGCAGTCTTCTGTAGTAGTGACGGCGGTGCATCGACATTCTTGGCAGGCGGTCCGAGCATGAGGAATATGTCTCGGACTACTATCGCCGATGCCGGGAGAGGTGCCGAGTCTTGCTTCTTGCAGTTGCTTGGTAGACGAACTCTGGTGGAAGCCATTTTCGCCAGCGCGTCACTATCTCTCGGGCTGAACCGGCTGAAATAGTGTATACCGACTCAGGCACTACATACCTCTCGGCCCGCGTGGAAGCACCCCGAGACAGGCCAAGGCAGACGTAGCCAGATTCGCTGGAGACTGCCTCAAACAGCAAAAGCACCCCCCCCGCACTTCAGGGACATGCGCATGCTGTTGTGGACCCAGTGGCGGCCGTGGTCTAAGCATCCTGGAATTTCTGGTTTATGATCCAAGTTTTGCTTTGGTCGGTGCAGCAGTTGCGTCAGCGGCGGAGGAGCCAAGAGCATGTGTCGCTTGCTCCTACACTACTCTTCCTAGGGAGTAGTAGGGAGACCCCTTAAAGGGAACCCTTCTTAACCTACTTGTGGCTCTCTTAAACGGGACCTCTTAAAAAGGGGCCTTATTGAGAGGATCTATATCCCCAAGGGTCCCCCTGCCCTAATCCTAACTTCTGCACTCCGGGTTGTGTTTCGAAGTCTTCGCCTGAAGCCTAAGGCCTAAAGCCCCTAGAAGACTTGAAGGAATTTAACCCAAGCCCTAACGGAACCTGTTTGGATCCCTTCTACCAAGCCCTTAGACCCTTAAAGGAGCCCTTCTAGGCTGTAAAAGTGCCCTAAGCCCCCCTAAGCCCTACGCCGCGAGTTTCTGAAGCGAGGTGGAACCCGGAGTGTTGGACTTCGGAGGCGTCCTGTTCGGCAGATGTCCAAACCGCTGAGATTCGAGCTTTAGGGTTTAAGGTTAAAGGTTTTTTGGGGTTTAAGGTTTGGGGGTTTAAGGTTTAGGGGTTTGAGGTGTTGGGGCTTAGGGTTTTGGAGTTAACGTGTAGGGTTTAAGGCTTTTTGGGTTTATGCGGTATGTATCTCTATCCTGCATGGTTTAATCTCTTACATAATACAGTACATGCTGGTTTTTCTAGTAACTTAGTATATTATGGTATACCGTATATATTCTAGGAACTTAGTAGTAGAAAATTATAGAACATGGTGGAATATGGCAGAATCTTCAAATGTCGCATTATCCCAACCCAGTAGGCGAGAGAGAGCTCGCTTCCAAGGGGGCCGGCGCATGCTAAACTTTGCTAGACCATTATGTGTACATGCCGTAAAATATCAGAATACACTAGTTACTAGACTATACAACAAAATGCCATAGTATACCATCATTTACAATAAACATACCATAATTAGTGTAGGATAAAGTCTACTAGACTATACTCAACTACACTCTATGCTAGACTCTGTACTATACGAAACTATGCATTATCATGATGCACTGTACTTTAGTGTACTGTACTGTAATATACTATACTACACCCTAAACCCTAAACCCTCAACTCTAAACCCTAAACCCCTAAACCCTAAACCCAAAGCCCTAAACCTCTAAACCCTAAACCCTAAACCCTAAACCCTAAACCCCTATACCCTAAACCTCTAAACCCTAAATCCCGAACCCCAGGCCTCTGAGCTCTACTGAGCCTCCTGAGTTCCTC